AGTGAGAAGGGGGGGCTTGAGCCGGGTTGCAAGCAGTGGGTTCGCACGCCGGCAGGGTGTGCAGTATATGCTGAGCTGAAATATGCCGTGGGTGGGGAGTGCCCTTGAAAACACAGGGGGGCCACACCTGCCCGCCCCTCCCAGGTGCTGGCCCCGCCCAGCTGCTCCCCGACCCTGCTGCTGCCGGTAAAACCCGTCAAACGTGGGGGGCGCACGTCTTGCCGCGCGCCAGTATGAGGAGCTCGTCGCAGGCGTTGGGGTCCAGCTTGAGCACCCACTGGGTCAGCCACCTGGAGTAGGCCAGCCTGGTGGGGGGAAGATCGTGGTGACGATCAGGTTGGTGCACAGAGGCGAGAGGAGGGCGGTTGTGTTGCTCGTATGCCGCCACATAGGGGGCGCCATTAGAGGGTGTTTGCAGGTAGAGAGCTGTTGGTGGGTTCATGGGGTCTGCTGGGTGAAATCTTGAGTAACGGGTGCCCGTAGGGATGGCCACGCGACACGCCAGGGCCGCGCCATGACTGAGACGTTGCTGCTATCGCGTGCGCACGCAGCCCTCAGGCTCAGCGCTGGCCTCTGCACGCCTGTTTTGGACAGCCCAGCCAGTCCCGGCTGTCACCTGTACGGCTCGGGCCGGCCGCTGTCCCCTGGGATCTGGGAGAGGAGGGGGGAGCAGGGACGGCGGCGGTTGGGTTGACTAAGGCCTGATATCCAGGGCAGGCGCCCCCGCTTGAGACACAAACCCAAACATCGCTAACGCCAGTGTCGTGGCCGCTGCCACTGCCGGGGCGCTGCCGCAAGGCCCAGGAGCGTGCGCTTTAGCGGCCGCGCCGTCGGCAGTGTCTGCGCGTACGTATGCAATGGGCATGCAAAGACTGCAGATGCAGCGTTGCATGCATGCCATTATGCAAGCAAGCCAACAGAACAGCATGGCATGTGTAACAATGCGTTTAGAGGCAGGATCAGGCACAAACACGCAGTGTGCGGAGCGCCTGCCCTCACCGTCTTGGGGTCTGCCGCGTTGATCTCGTCTATCTGGGCCGTAATGGCCTCGAGCTTGTCACGCTTGGCCGGGGGAGGTGGCGTCTGCGGGGGGCGGCAGAAGCCGCGCAAGGAGGGCACATTGAGCCGGGGTTGACGGGAAAAACGCACACCGGTTCTGCAGGGACCTCCGCGCCGTCTGCCCGCGTTGACCCCGCTGCTTGCTGGGGGCCCACAGGTGACGTCACTTGGTGTCACCTGCGCATCCATCTTGGCCACCAGCTCCCTGATCTCAAAGTCGTCCAGGTTGGAGCGCGCCACCTGGGATGATCAAGGTGTTTCATTATTTGCATCATTTGAGTGACGTGGTGTCAATCTTTTGATTGAACAAGAGCGCAGGAATCATCCTCGGCACCGGTAGCAGGTGCTTCCAGTGATGAAATTGCGCAAGGGACCCACAAGACAGGATTTGCAGTAGTTGCGCCGCGCCAGACGCTGCTGCCGTGCCGGGGTGCCTTGTGAGCCCTCCAGGAAGCGAGGAGCAAGTACCCCGGCTGCTTGTATGGGGCAGGATTGCTGGCAGAAGCGCCCCTGCCATGAGCGGGGGCGATCGCAAGCCCGGCAGCCACCGCCCTCACCTGCCGCGAGCCGCGCCGCGGGGCGCCGCTGCCTCTGCTGCTGAAGGGGCCCACGCCCCGGCCGCTGCTGCTCGCGCCGCTGCACGAACCGACGGCCTGCACGGGGTGGCGGGCACCGCAGCAAGGGTGTTGGAGCGGGGCGCTGTTGCAGCTTTATGAACACAGTGTAGCATGAATGCCCTTGCGATACGGGCGCCTGCGCCAATGTGTGCCCCAGATCTCTCAAGGATACAGCTGCAAAACCCAGGGGCCACCAGCACCTACCCTGGTGCACTGTGCGCCGCATGCGCGCGAGACGCTTGTGGCGCTGCCGTTTCCCCTGTGAGTGGCGCGTGCATGGGCGTGCAACAAAGGGCCTTGCTTGACGGCGTGAACACCAGGTCAAACAGGTTACTTTGCATGCCGACGCTCACCTGCACGGGGTTCCCGCACAGCGCATCACGGTGCGAGTCCCGCTCAATGATCTGCTGGGCCTTGGGCGCAGTGCGGGCTGGCTAGAAGTCAACATGCTGAAATTATTCTACAAGATAAAGATCTGTTCTCCTACAAAGGTAGCGACCACGTGAGACCGATCCAGAATGGTCCTGCTTGCGTGTGAGGCTTCTGCGAGGGAGAGCCAAACAAAACAACTTACACGATTCGATGAAACAACAATGTCGACCCAATCAACGTTCAGCCTGGCATGGGGCATGTTTGCCTGTGGCGCAGGCAGCGCAGCGCGCACGACACAACACCGTTCAGGCAGCCACATGCAACCATGACAAGCTACACGCAGCGCATCGCAGCGCCTGCGTCGCCGCCATTTACAGCCTGCAAGTCCCGGCGCCGCACACGCGGGCCGCGCACTGCAGGCGCGCCCTCGTCATCGCCCGGGGCGTTGACCATCCCCCTGCGCCAGGTGGGACGTAGGTGACGCGCGTGTGAGAGTGTAGAACACAATCGGCTAGGGTCCTGTGAGTAGCGTGCACCTGGAAAATTTGAAAGAAGTGCTTGCCTTGCCACACAAGTGGCCGTCCGTACGATATTGCAAGCCCAGCCAGACCCCACCCTGAACTGCAATTTTGATTGTGATTGGCCATGTTGCCATATTGTTTCCACATTTCATAGCAGCCCCCGCCTCTTGCCCCCGTCTTGCACACCTGCACGTCGGGGCCCCGCAGTTGCACGGCAGTTTCTCCTCCCCTGCGGTGGCAAGCAGAGCGGAGATGTGGGCGCGCACGAGCGGTTGAACCAGGATGAGCCGTCTCTGGGAAAGGCGGCGCAGCCGGCATGCACTTGAACGTGCGCCTGTCGCCGTACCCAAATTAGCCAGCCGAAGACACGGCTTGAGAGGGGTCCTGCAACCTGGCTCTGCCTGGGACACGCAGCCCAAACCCCCCTCACCGGCAAAGCGGTAGTCATATGTAAGCTCCTCGCCCACGGCTATGTCCCTGCAAACACGTTTATTCGACGGCGGTGTGGGCAGGATGGTATGCAGAGTCAGGGCTGCCACTGGGCTTGATGTGAGCGACCGCCTTGCGCCGCTGTCATGGGCTGCTCCTCGCAAGCGATGGCGCACACAGCACTGCACAGAAGGGGTTCATGGTCGGGATACTGCATGCAGGGAAATCCAGGGTCCTGTGTGGGCGCATGGCGCCCGGCATCATGCGCCCCGCATCGGCGCGCGTCATCGTAACGTCACCTGCTTGCGAAGATGACGATGTGGTCCCGCCGCCGCCCTGTGGCCGGGTGCGCGACCGTGATGGTGCGGCTGTGGCAGCAGGGCGCGCACGAGTGGTTGAGCAGGTGCGCGATGGACCCGGCCAGGGTGGCGTCGACGCACATGTCCTCGTTCAGGCGGAAGATGTAGGTGCCTGATGTTATTGTGAGGAGATATTTAGGCGAGATGTTGGTGTTGTCGGGGGGTTGTCGGCTGTGTGGAATGGTCGTGTGGGCTGCGGTGGCCGTCCCAAGGCCGCGCAACCGGCAGCCAAAGGTGCCAGCCCTCAAACCCCTGCTGCTGTTGCTGCGAGTGCCGCATGCCGACGCCGGCAAAGGGCCCCTCTCCTCCACCAACCGGCTGTCCAGCAGCCAGGGCTGCCTCTACAGCGACCTCCCGCCGCCTCCCTGATTGCCCGTCTCACAAACGTACAGCAGGGCTGCTGGGAACCATGGACCCCTGTTTCCCCTCGCTCCCCTGTTGCCCCTGACCTGCCCTTGTCACTGCCCCTACAGGCCCACTGGCTCTTCTGTTGCACCCAACCCTCCTCACCGGCGCCCAACGAGGGGCCCCATCTCTCCTGTGACTCCCATGCCCGGCCGCCCCATCCCCCCTCCTGTCCTCACCTGCGCCCACGACCTGGTTGTAGTGGCGGCGCTCCAGTGAGTCCGCCACTGAGGGCCGCACCAGGC